CTAGGGTCCATGGAGGTTACCGTAGCAACAACAGCACCCCCAACACAGACCCAGATTGCTGCGGTGACACAGACGCAGCTCCAGGCGCCGCTGACGACGCCGATCCCGGCGGTCATCAGCGGGTTACAGACGCAGGCTACAGGTACGACCGCTCGCCCGCTTATCCACTGAAAGCAGCCAATGGGAAAGCTGGGTGTGGTTTGGTGATTGGTGCACGAGCGCAAGTTTTCCAGGTGTTGCTACAGAGGACCAGTGTTAGCTCAATGAGCAGCTTCCCTGGCTGGGAGTCATTCTGCACGTCAGGAAGCATCAGAAGCATCAGGCCTGCTTCTCCAGCTTCGTGTAATCAGATGTAACTTTGTCCAAGAATCAGACCAAAGCAAGAAGAACGTCTCAGAGGCGCCTGGTGTGATGCTGAGGTCAGACTTCAGCCTTTTGACACAGAGATGGTTCAGGTGTCTGAGTTCTGCCTCAGTGGCTCTCTGCTGTTTGCAGGTGTAAACCTGCTCAGGGAGCCTGTGTGAATAAGGCAGCAGCTGAAAGCAGCTTTTATCTGAGCTGTTGGGAAACGGAGCGTCGGCGGGTCGGTCGAGCTTTCATGTTCGGGCTCTGCCTGAAGGGAACGCTCTCAGTTTACTGGGCGACTGTGGAGGTGGAGCCTGAACATAATAGGTCAGACACAAAAGACACAAACGCCGCAACCGCAGCAACCTGACAAGGCAGACAAAACACAAAAAAAGCAACAGCATCATCATCACCAGGATCACCACAGCGACTCACTCTCAGGCTCGCCGCTCACCTTAAAGTGTCCTTAATGAACATCAGAGGGTTTGGATTATAAATCCTGGAAACGATGGTTGTATGAAAGCACACGCTGGTGTCACGTCAGCTTCCCTCTGTATGCGTGTAAGCGCTCAGTCAGCAGGATGTGGAGGAGTTTAAATCCTGCTCAGGGTCAGACACGTCCGGTAACCATGACAGCGAGAGGACATCACTGAGTGAAATATGTTTCCAGAAGTTTCTGAGTGATTGAACTCAAACTGCTGTGTTTCTCTTCTGAAATCAAGTTTGTCATTAAAAGTTTGGAGCATTTCCTGCTCTGCTGTCGACGGCACGCCTGCAGCTCTGCAGCCCTGCAGCCCTGCAGCTCTGCAGCTCTGCAGCTCTGCAGCCCTGCAGCCCTGCAGCCTCCACACTGGTTGTTCTGTGCGAGCATGCAAACGCCGCATGCTAACAAACCTGTTTGTGTACTTTGGATTAACTGCAGCGTGCGCGCTCCGTCCTGTTTGCATGCTGAGCCTTGGCGTCGGGTTTCACTCACGCTGGCGTTTAACCAAAGCGCCGCGAGGTTCCAGTCTGACCTGTGAGCGCCGCTGCGGCCTCTGTTACAGGGCGCCGTTTTAACCTCTGACGCCGCCTCTTTGTCTCCTTCAGTCTTGCCGAGCTCGGCCACGTTAAAGGCCAACACCATCCTGAGCACCAAACCCCCCATCCAGCCCCGACCCGTGTGCGTCGCCACCCTGCCCGTCCCCCAGACCGCCACGCCGGCCAAGGCGCTCATACTGCAGGGCCTCCCCTCCATGGACCAGAGCAGACCTGGTAACAACATCCTGTTTCTCCCTTTACTAATCCTAATGTTTATTTCCCATCACAGTTTCTTTTATACATATCTACTTTTACGTTTTATATCTAAATAATTAAATTTATTATTATTATTATTATAAGTTAATATGTTGTTAATTTATTTCTGCCTTTGCTTTCGTGGCGTTTCACTTTGTGCAGCTGATTTAATAACGTAGTCGGGAATGAGTGATGACGGAGGATGCTGGAGAGTCCGACCTTTAACATGATCAATAACCAGTGGTGTGTTCAGTTCTCGTGTGCTGAGGATGCTCTGATTCGTCTTCATCTTCTCCTCTTCCTCCTCCAGTCGTCATCTCTCCGTCCGTCTGCCTCGGCTCCACGCCGGCCATCGTCAAAATGGAGCCCGTCTCTCCCAGCATCCCCCAGCACTGCTCCAGCCCCACGGCCCCGCCCACCAGCAAACCCATCGTCCCGGCGACCACGACTTTGCCCGGCAACAGCTCGAACGACATCGATGTGAGTACAGCACTGACGTTACAGCCAGTACCCAGAATTCCTCTCTGAGCCTGTGAACGGATTACATCACACAACTTTCACACGGCTCCTCCTCTTCTTCCTCTCCTCCTTCCTGTTTCCCCTCACTGACCACCTCCTCCTCCTCCTCAGATGAAAGTGCTGAAGCGGCAGCAGAGGATGATAAAGAACCGCGAGTCGGCCTGCCAGTCGAGGAAGAAGAAGAAGGAGTACCTGCAGAACCTGGAGGCTCAGCTGAGGGAGGCCCAGCAGGAGAACGAACGGCTGCGCAAGGAGAACCAGGCACTGAGGGAGAGACTGGCAGGGAAG